TGTTCCGAAAGTATTAGCTTAGATGTTTCTTGTACAATATCAAGTTCTGTTAGACGCAAGGATTACATAGAAAGGGCTACGAAAAAGTAATGCTTTGGCCAGATAGAAATTTCCCACTTATTCGTCAATCAATCCATGTGGCTTTAATTCTCAAACAAATTGCTTTTTCAGACTACCTTCATGATATGTTTTTACTACCTACACTCACAAGCCGATAGTTCATCTGTCTTAGAAGAGAACAAGGGTTGTTTATAAAAATTTCCCTAATTCTGCTAAATAAAGCAACTATTGTGCTATTCTAAATACTACACCCACTTTCAAAATACTATTTTAAATGTAAGCTAATTAATACACAAATACAAAAGAAACGAGTGTTGAGAGTTCAAAGCATTGGATATACCTTGATCTGATGGGTAAAAATAGCTATATTATGTTTGTCAAAGTCTATTTAATGGACAGAAGGTAGTAGCTTCGGCCCTTTCGAGTATTCTACTTGTATATTCTTATAAGTACGTGTCTGTCTGGAAACATTCCAAATCAGCTTGACAATTTGTACCAAGAAAGTAGACTTTCCCAGACCTGATTCTTAAGTACACACACACACATTACACAATTTCAAAGTTATTTGATTAATATGGAATACATAGATGAAAACAGCGACGAAGTGACACAGGGCGGCAGAGAGCGGATCAAAAGCCGCCGCTTAAGGCACGCAACTGCCATCTCAGCCTCGACTCCAAAGATAGTCCGCATGTTTGCCTCCAGTTGTACATACACGTACATACATAGTCGGAGTCTACCCATACCAGTACCCGCACTAGCCCACTTGTTTATCTTTTCATTAGCTGACACACAACTGAGGCGGCCTGTCATCTGTGTCATCAATCGGCTATCGACGATCAGAACGCCTACCGTCTGCACCTGGCACCTGGTCATTGCTCGCAAACTGTCTGTGACTTCTTCGCACTTTAGCGCAGAAAGACCAAAGCAGAGCCTGTTACCGGGAATGAGAACGGGAAGCAATGCTCTAGCTCGAGCTCTAGCTCTAGCACTAGCTCCAACTGAAGCTTCAGCTCCAGGCAACCTCAGAGTCAACTGATTGACGCAAATTGCGCAATTGTTATTACAATTACTCTCTAACTATGTAGCATGCAGCAGAGTCAGCTGTAGTCGTAGCTGTTCACTCTAGGCTGTTGGTTGTAGGCTGGAGGCATGGTCTAATGTACATGTACATGTACTTATATACTTAATTTGTTGCGTACTCATCCAACCAGTCAGTCGTCAGTTACGTGGCGCTCTTTTCTAATCCATCCATTGCTGAAAAATGTTTGCTACTAAACTCTTTGGCCTTGTGCTATTCTTTTGTCTGTCTGTCTGTCTGTCTGTCTGTCTGTCTGTCTTTGGCGTGCACCCGTCTTTTTTCATTTTTTTAAATTTTATTTTTATTTTTTTGGTTGAAATGTCTAAAGGTAGTCATTAGCACAAAAGATTGTTGCCACTGCTTTGGCTGTAGTTGCTTCTGTTTTGGGCGTTTAAACGGGGTAATTACCTTTTGGCTATCTTTGGACCAGCACCGCAAAAAAGCCAAATAGTTTGTTCGTCAAGAAAATGAAAACGTAACGAAATCGATTTCCAACGGCTTATGCTCTTAGCCGACTAGCGTGGCGTGTGGCAGCGTCTTGGCCAGACAGCCCCCTCGAATTGATGAATCAATTTGGAATAGAGTTATTAAGAGTATACGTCACGTTACGATTGTTATTCAATGATATCCATTGAGTGTTTTACGATCTACTTGTATGTATATTTCGTGTCGTGTGCGAAAATGCTAAACATTGAGACGAATCTGTGATTGCCGTAGCCATTCAACACATTTGAACTCATAAATCATTTAGTTAGACTTTATTTTACCTTTACGCAGGTGTGTTGAAATCAATTAAGCCCATGGCCTAATTTTAGTTTAATGTGAAATTAAATTCTTCTTCTCCCGTTCACTCAAGCGTTGAGTTGAAGAATTGATAGATAAGCAATAGTCATAAATATATGTATGCAGTTTTTTCTGAAACATCCTCAAATCTTCCTAATTCATTGAAATGGATAAACTAATTTCTTGTTGCAATATTTACAGACATGCGCCCGACACGGAACCGATGATTCCAAAAACTTTGATACATCAGAGGTAAGCAGACAAATAATGCAGTGATCCACATAGATCGAACAAATCGACGACATCGTTTTTTTTTGTTACCAACTGGTAGACAAAATCAAATTAAAAAATAAACAAAATAATGCAACGGGATTTTTGTATTATTTGCTTTTTTTTAATATGTGTCGACTGGCTATATACATATATACAAAAAATTAACATTATACATAATACCTTAATACGAATCAGATTAGTTGGGGTGATTTTATTTTAGCTCTTATAGTATCTAAAATCTAGCTGTTCATACGGACGGACGGAAGTCTTGTCATGCTGTATAAGAATTTATATTCTTTGTGGGTCTGCCACGACTTCTTCTGCCTGTTACAATATCACTTTGAAGCTTTTATAAATATATAAATGGGTGTAAAAATATATACATTGATCTATAAACCGAATAACTTAGGACATTATTCGATGTGTACCAGATAAGTAGTAGATGCAAAAAGTTTTCCGTTGCTCTATAAGGTACTGGACAGTTAATATGGCTCAAAAGGGCAATCGCACCTACATGCCCTACAATCAATTTGTGAAGGAACACAATACCAAGTAGTATAATACTAGCAGTCTAAATCAGTTAAGGTGGAAGTGTATGTATATCAAAGCACCAGAGCTGCAGGCAGCTTAGTTCATCCACCAAACCAGTATAGTCATACAAGTAGGCAGCAAGAATGCGACATTATAGGAGGGAAACAGAGCTAAATGAGTTACGAAACAGAGTCAAAATATAAGGGCTATTTTGAGGTACAACAGAACAGGTGTGGAAAAATTAGATCAGAGAAACAATCTTTAAATTTAAATAGGAGAAAGTCCAAACAATTATAGGCTAATACGGGTGCTATAAATATAAATAATTATTTTTAAAGTTGCTATATAGTATAGTAATTCATAAAAGTCAAAACAGCAGCATCTTCTTGATTTTCAATTAAACTAGTTATGTGGGCTTACATGAGAAAGTTGAAGCAATAATATTAAAAATTTCAAATTGAATTGAAAAAAACCAATCAAAAACGTAATTTTCTGAAAATACGATTTTTACTTTGATCTTTATTCATATAATTTAGTCACAAATGCATGTTTGTTCAAAAACCTAATTTTTTTTAAAGTTGCTCAAATATTGATTATCTTTCTGCACGATAGAAAAAACGAGAGAACGAATGTCCTTGGAATCGTTCAAGCATATTCACGTTCTCCCTCGCATTTGAATTCTCTACATGAGATTCTGAGGACATTTTGGCACTTGCTCCCTTGATTGTATTGAAAGCATCACGTTTCACTATCGGTCACGTTATTTAAGAGGACATTTTCGTTATATTTGGTCAATTCCAACATTCCCACTTCCAGAAGACCTCATATCCTGAAAGGAAGCTATGAAGCTATGAGATGCACTGAGTTGCACATATTTGGAAAGTCCTTTCTCCTTTGCACTCACGCGAGCTGTGCAATCTCTGTTGAAACAACTGTTCAGCACAGTTTTGTGTAATGACTGGACCCTGAGGGATGGTCAGTCATGCGAACAGCATGGGTTGAGTCCACCACGACTGGCATGGACGGTTAGATGGAAGGGCCTGTCTTTCACTTCTTGGGGTCAGAGCCTGGGCTTTGGGATGAAAGGTTGAGATAGTACGGGGATTTATTTTACAGTCACTCGCCTCATACCACAAATAATATCGCTGCTCATTTTGTAAAATTAAATTAAAAGTGATTTGCGTGCCAAAGAACAATTTAGGCATTTCGTAAGAATGTCGCAAGCGTTCAATTTGTTTACGCCAAGGGATTTGGCTAAGTACCCATACCGGTATTGTATTTACTTGTATATGTAATTTACCGTGGTAGAATTGAGTAACCTTTAATTATGTTTCAAAATGATTCCGCTTTGATGAGCGCGAGCGCTCAATTTGCTATGTGTGTGGCATTAATGTGCAGTGGCTTCTTCTCTTCGTGATGGCGGTGGTGTGGCATGCCACATGCTCGTAAGACAGACGACAAGAAATTTTTCAATTGCATTATGTGTCGTCTGTTGAACGTCGTCGTCTCTGCTAATTCAAGAGCGGAGCCGCAGTTTCAACTGCAACTGCTGCTGTAAAATATATTCGCGTGATCACAATAACTTTTTGTTTGTATTGTTGAATAAAATAAAACAAAACCAAAACCAAAAAAAAAAAAACTGATTATGAAGCAAAAGTGAAAAGTTGTAATTAAACCAGTCACTGGCTGTCTGCGTTGCAGCAGAAATGGCAGCACACAGATAAAAAAAACTGCATACAAGACAACAACAACAACAACAACAGCAGCAGCAGCAGCAGCAGCGACAACAACAACAGAAACTTTGGCAATCATAACGAGTAGAAATCGTTGAAGCAGAGCCTTAGCCATAGCTATAGCCATAGCCATAGCGGCGACAACAGCAACGTGTCGCTTTTTTTAATGTTCCGACGTCTCTTGCAACAAGTGCGCTTAATTAGTGTGGCGACTACTGGTAGAGAGGGAGGGGGTTTGGGTATGGGTTGGGGTACGCCATAAGTTCTACAGCAGCAGCAACAACAACAACAACAATTGCTGCAAAACATCTAACTGTGGTTACTTTTGCAGCGGCGCCCCAGAAACGACGCAGATGATGATGTGGCGGACACAAAAGTGCTGCTGCAGCAGAGCAACAACATCGACGAGAAAGACGATAGCAACAGCAACAGCACCAGCATCAGCATCAACAATAACAACGATATCAGGGCGTCCAGTGAAGCCAGTGTGGTCAGTGTGGCGCAACAGCAACATCAGTGGCAGCAGCGGAAGCAGCCTAAACCAAAAAGTAGAAGTATTAGTAGCCTTAATTTTAGTCAATTGTCTTGCCTCAGCCGTCGCCTCATCGCTGGCCAAGTCTCCCGACAATTTCCTGCTGGACGAAGAGCCCTCCTCGCCCCTGCCGAGCAGTTATTTTCGAAGTCCGCATCGTATCGATGGCTACTATACGCCTCCAGTGGCCAGTGGCAGTGTTGCGGATCTGCAACGCCAACAGCTATTGCAACGCAGCCAAAACTTTAAAATCAGCCCCAAGCCCTGCTCCTTTGGCCGCATCGAGGGCACCTGCATGTTTGTGTGGGAGTGCATCAAATCTGAGGGCCGGCACGTGGGCATGTGTGTGGACTCGTTCATGTTTGGATCGTGTTGCACGCACAACTACACGGACAATATCGTGCTGCCACAGACCATGTTCGCATACACGAGACCCACAAGGCCGTTGAATTTACGGCCACCTCCACAGCCGTATAAGCCAGCCATAAGGTAAGCTATACATTTTACAAAAATTTAAGTTTTATCAAGTCGATTAAGCAAGCCCATATGCCCGCCTGTTCTTGATAGTGCAGGGTATCTCCGATTAAATCATCGGACCTTTTGAAGGTTTAATAAAGAAAATGTGCATATAAACAGTTTCTAACATTTATGTCAAAGTATTACTTTATTTATGTATATATTTAAAGAACCCAAAGTATTGCTATATTCGAGATATATATTATGTACGTGTATATTGTTATTATCATGTGTAGAAAATTGGGGACTAGCGTAGCTCAACAAGCTGGCAAGAATCCCACAATATGATTTCGTTCCTTGAGTAGGCCCTCGGTTCCAAATACGCCGTGACCACCATGAGAGAAGCATGATTAAATTTTAAATAAAGATTAAAGATTTACACAAAAAAAAATCAAATATTTACTCAGATCCTATTGATCCAATTTGTGCCAACAATACTAAATTGACATGTAAATAGTTAACTAAACCACAGGGCGCATACTTAATTGGATAGGTCTTACATATTATTAAAAATGACTTTATATTTAATGATTGCCCAACCTAGAACAGTTCTTAATTAAAGATATACAAAAAACCAAAAAAAAAAAATTAATTCAGATCCTATTGATCCTATCCGTGTCAACAATACTAAATTGACATGTAAATAGTTAACTAAACCACTTAATTGGAAAGGTCTTACATACTTATTATTAACAAGTAAAAAAGCTAAAGTCGGGTGTCCCGACTTTGAAATACTCTGTACATATGTGTACAATAATTATAGAAAATAAAAAAATTAAGAAAATAAAAAAAAAATTTGATCGATTTTACCTCTCTCGGTATTCGAACTCACGTAAAGGGTGTATAATTGCACATTTACATAGCAATTGCGTCTGTGTGAGTGTATGTATGCCTATGCGCATCTATTCGTGTCTGTGTAAGCATTTTCGCAGTCAACCAAACAGCAACATCAACAACAGCCGCGGGCAGCGCTTGAGCAGCGCTGCAGCAGCGCTGCATCAGCAAATATATTTATGGCTATAACTTCTTGTTAAATCGGTCTATCATAATGAAATTTGGCATACGGACACATAATAACCAACTGGGGGTATTTCCAAAATTTTAGTTCGAAATTCCAAGAATTACGGGAGTTACGATTTGCGGGGTAGAGGGGGGAGGGAGGGGAATTCCAAAATATACATTTTCTGCGTATTCACATAAGGCATCTGGGACTAAAATTTGGTGTTCCTAGGTCTTATAGTCTCCGAGATATAGGCGATTATACGAATGGAAAATCGGGAAAACCCCCATAGGGGGGAAGTGGGGGGGAAAATCAAAAAAATAAAACAAACTCGTATAGAATACACACATAACGCATCTTTGTGCAAAATTTGGTGTCTCTATCTCTTATAGTCTCTGAGATCCAGGTGTTCATACGGACGGACAGACGGACAGACAGACAGACAGGGCTAGATCGACTCGTCTCGTCATGCTGATCAAGAATATATATACTTTGTGGGGTCTGCCACGCCTCCTTCTGCCTGTTACATTTTTCAGCTCCCGCAAACCTAATATACTCTTGTACATTTCATGTACAGAGTATAAAAATGTCCTTGAATTAATAAGTATAAAAAAGAAGATAATCCTTGATCAAGATCCGAGGGAATTCAACTTTTCATCTCCTTTATTCTCCTTAGCGGCATGACCACCATTGAGCGGCCACATGGTGCAGGAACTCTGGTAATACGTCCATCGGGTCCGCATCATCAGGGATCGTTGTCGCGTCCTCAGCACACCAAGCCCACATCGAGCAGTTCCACCGCGCACTGGACTTCGACTTCAGCGGCTAATACTATGGTAGCGGGTGATCTGCAAAGCGCGGCCAGCATGCCCACTGCGTCCTCGAGTAAGTAGTGGGTTGGTGTTGAGGCTGTCGCTTTTATTTGGGTCCAACTAGTTCAGTTTATTAGATTTGTGGGATGCTCTATGATGCCCAAAAGTAATAAAAAAAATGCACCCGTTAACATACAAAACAACTATACTTGTAAAGACTTGTTAAGAGTAGCCACATTTTTCCATAGAGTAGGGCAGGATCATTTTGAAAGTGGCAGCCGTAGCTGATAATGTAATTAGGAACATTAAACATACTAACACAAAAATACACAGATAGCATTTGGCATACGTCAACGCAGCAGCAGCTGCAACAACAACAGCAGCATCACTGGCACATGCCAACAGAGCCGAGCTTTATAACCAAGCCTCGACCCACCGGTTGGAATAGGCCTGGCGTCGTCAACTTGCCAGCGCGGCCCTCCAAGCCTGCGAAGCCCACAAAGAAGCCGATCTTGTACGAGCGGCCCAGCGCGGCGGCATCGACGCAGACGTCAGTTCTGTTGACGCAGACGAAGCCCACCAAGCCACAGGTATGTATGTAAATAAGCGCGTGCTATGTGTCTGGGCTAAAGCAGGGCGTCGTGAGTCGTGAGCAAGACGACGTGAAAATGTCTGATTTAGTTACTCCTTAAAAAAATAGAGATCAACTGATCCAATTGCACTGGGAATTCTTCAAAATTAAGTGCTAATGAAAGTAAAATTATAGTGGTCTGATCTGCCCTAAGCGGGTTGGTTATCTGAAAAGTTGTATTTTACTCAAGAGATTTTCGAAATCTTCGCTTTTCAATACTTCGCCTCACGCTACCAATAATTAGGTCACGTGTCCATCCCTAGTCCGCGCATAATGTCCGTCGACGTGTGTGTGATGCATTGATGTCGAAAGCGAAACAAACAAGTCGCTTTGAGGTCATTTACTCCTTTAGCTGGGGACCGAACATACATACACACACACCTACAAACATAGGCCTGGGCATAATGGCAGGCCGCCGCATAAACAGCCTTGGGGGACATTTTATTGTTTACACAGGCCCGATGCTGATGTAAGAGATTTGCCTGGCGACCACAGCAACGGCCAAGTTGAGTCAAGTCGGGTCCAAGTCAAGTCAACGTCTTGGGTGTGTTGAGTGCTCTGTGCGGAGGAATGAAAAATTGATTCTTTGCATGTAAAATATTTCGAGCGTTTACCATTTTTGCTCTCTATCCCTGTATCCCTCTTGTAGCTGTCGCCGGCGACATCATTAGCCACATCTACGAAACCCACAAGCACAAGAAGGCCCACGACCACGACCACAATCGCAAAGCCAAGCAGCACATTGCGGCCCTATCACCAGCCCGCTGGACCACCAAGAACAACAACAACAACAACGACAACGAGAACGACGACAACGAAAGCGACGACGAGCACGACAACCACAGCAAAGCCACCTACCACATTGCACCATCAACCGTGGCCCAGTAGCAGTGGCTCCAACAGACCTAGCACGGCCGCATCAATAGCCACAGCTACAGCCACAGCCACTTCCTCAACCACCCAACCCACGCGCCGGCCCATCCAACAGGCCACGGTAGCGGCGGCAGCGGCGGCCGCGGTAGCCACGGCAGCCATCGAGACGAATGAAATAACGGACTCCACACATGTTGTGCTGGACGCTCCGCTGGGCAACGCTAGCGTCAAGACCATATCGGCTGCGCGCAGCGGTAAGTTGAGCAACGCCTTCCAAGCAGCAACACGCCCAACGCCCCACGCCCCACGCCTACGCCCCCTACATTTGACATTCCAATTTTTGATACCCTATGCCCATTAAATGAATAGAGGAAGTATCTATCCACAGGCATGTGAACTATAGGATAAGTGATAGATATTCCCAAAACAAAAACAATTCAATCACAATTAGTTAACCACTATGTTTAGTTTTTAAGGAGTGGAGTTATAAAGATCTGGAATATCTATGCATCAGCATTAGAATCTTACATAATTACGATACGTTAGCATTGGAAGATTCAAATTGATCAATTGATCAGGCTAACTTGTACAGAATGAAGATACTAATAATATTTTTCAGGTGATCGGTAATGGAGAAATTTACATCCGTTTTCAGATTGGTAGTTTATTGTTTCCACCAACGAAAGATCTCGTGAAAAATTGGTATTAACTAGATGTGGCCCCACAAATGGAAACATATAAAAACGTTCTTATATTGCATATCTATTTAACAATTATAAAATTAAAGCATAATGGATAGTTACGCATTTAAACTGAACACATTCAGATTCGTTAAAATATTGAAGAAAAAAAAAAAAACTCAGCTCTAGTGCAGCGCATCTTTCTTTTTCTGGAATTTGTAGAAAATCTATAATTAGGTTGCTATAAAGAAGTTCCTATTTGTATTTAAACTCTAAGACTCGTGCAGCTTGAAAGGTATTCTCAAAAGTAGTTTGACAACGATCCGACAGACAAATAATTTGTGCACAGACTCGTTTTATTCTAGAAAAAGCCGTTGAAAAGTTATGTGCGAAAAGCCCTGCTGTAATAAGTAGATAAGAATAATAAAGAAATTGTACCAAATTATTTGCCTGTCGGAGCACAGTCTTATAAGTAGATTATCCCGTAGTCGACTACAGCGTATTTTGTCTTACAGAATGCGGCATGCCGATGCTGGCACGCCCTGAGACGCGCATTGTGGGCGGCAAGAGTGCGGCCTTCGGTCGTTGGCCCTGGCAAGTGTCTGTGCGACGCACATCGTTCTTCGGCTTCTCCAGCACACATCGTTGCGGTGGCGCTTTGATAAATGAAAACTGGATAGCGACGGCAGGGCACTGTGTGGACGAGTGAGTGGACCGCGCCGACAAGTAGCCTACAAGGCGTGCTCAATGTCTTCTCCCCTCTGTCTCCGATTCCTTTGCAGCCTACTCATCTCTCAGATACGCATACGTGTGGGTGAATACGATTTTTCGCATGTTCAGGAGCAGTTGCCCTACATCGAACGCAGTGTGGCCAAGAAGGTGGTGCATCCTAAGTACAACTTCTTCACCTATGAATACGATTTGGCCCTGGTTAAGCTGGAGCAGCCCTTGGAGTTTGCGCCGCACGTTAGTCCGATCTGCTTGCCCGAAACTGACAGTCTCCTCATTGGCATGAATGCCACGGTTACCGGCTGGGGACGCTTAAGCGAGGGTGGTACACTGCCGTCAGTACTGCAGGAGGTAAATTAAAAACCAGTTCCATCCATTATGCGATTGGCCATTAAACACATATGGTATTGCCTTCCCCACAGGTATCAGTGCCTATCGTCAGCAATGACAACTGCAAGTCAATGTTTCTGCGCGCTGGCCGCCAGGAATTCATTCCCGACATATTTCTCTGTGCTGGCTTTGAAACTGGTGGCCACGATTCCTGTCAGGGCGACTCAGGCGGTCCCCTGCAGGTGAGTTGCAGTCATACTCTTGTCTAGTTGCCACTAATTAGCTTTTGTCATATCCCCTATTTAGGCAAAGTCCTCAGATGGTCGCTTCTTTTTAGCTGGGATTATTTCCTGGGGAATTGGTTGTGCCGAGGCGAACTTGCCCGGCGTTTGTACGCGCATATCGAAATTCGTTCCCTGGATTTTGGAGCATGTCAGATGATGGATGGATAGTTGGATGGGATGCTCAACTCAACACTTGTTATTGTTTTAACTGTTAGCTGTATTTGTAACAATAAGTTTATGTGATTTATATTATAAAAGTGCATCAGCAGAATCGTTAAGATCGTTAAGCTAGTTAGCTCCAATTCAAAATTGCATTGACACATGTACGAGTATGTATGTAAGTTCGACAGTCAATATTAAGTTAGTCTAGCGAATGTTTCCAACATCTCACAATAATTACTATATACAATACATAGGTATGTATATACTATATATATACATGTGTGTGCATGTGCTATGTTTAGCATCTGCCGGAAAAAGTCATTTTCACGTCCTGTTGTTGGTACTTTAATTTTTTAAATAATTATTTTAAAGCATAATTTATAAAAAATTGCATATAAACAATATGTTGTATCTTGCCCAAAGAACAAAATTATTTATAAAGAAAAGCCCAAAATAAAATAGAAAAAATTAAGCCACAAATTCTAATAAATTCTTGGTCGAACAGATAAGGCGGTCACTATGATTTATTGGTACTCGTAACCTGATGAATGACCATTCTTTGAATGACTCTTCAGCGCTTGAACTTGAACTCAAGTCTTCCGATGAAGTGCGTATTGAATTGGTCGTGGAATGAATTGGCGAAACTTTCTAACTGGCCTTTTATGGCAGACCCCAGGGGCCAAGTTTGTTCCCAGCGCGAAAAATTTCACTTTTCATCAACACGTTTTGACGTTTGACACAACGGCAATTAATCAATATATCAAAATACCAAATACGATTTGATTGAAAGCCAAGCTATCTACAAGATTCTCGCAATTAGCCAAACATAAATGAGATAACATCAAGTGGTGAGACTTGTGCTGGACTCGAAGATTGCGGGATACCCTGTACTTGTTTTATTGTGTGTGCAGAGAAAATCGGAAAGGGCTAGAATGCTCAATAAGGAACCCATAAAGTTTTTAATAGAGCACGACAACAATTTTATAATTCAGAATGTCAGATAACTGAAATGCGCCCCACTTGCATTCTATATATAAGAAATACATATTTATTTCAAGAAATATGCATATGTTTGGATGTAGATATGTTCTTAGATAGAGTACATTCTTTTCCTAAGCTACTGGTACTTTCTACTTTACCGAGGTACAGTAAAACTCTGCCTTCATTAAATCTAAAGAAAGATCTGCATATAATTTTTAATACTAATCCTTAAAGCAAATTCTAAATCTTAATATCAGACTCCTATGGTTAGATCAACTTGAAAATCGATTGCGTCATGACAGACAATTTATACATTTAAGATAACGTCATTAGATCTGGTTATCAATGAAGTATACATATATGTATACATTACGTGGATCCGCTTGGCACTTTAAAAATGTGGGAGTAGTCAGAGCCTGTTAAAACTCCGCATAATACATTGAATATAAAAAAGATACGGAATAAATCTGCTAATTAAAACATAAACTGCATAATTTAAACTCTCATTGCATTTTAGGTTGATTTCACTTTTGCGACATGGCGACTTTAATATTACCCGGAATAAAAAAGGGCCAGAATAAAATAGGAAACCGTGCAGAAATCAGGAAATATAATAAGTATATTTAAGCACTCGCACAAATAAACTTAAAACTGAAGCGCTTAGTTCTTCAATTAGTGATTACTTCTTTTTGGGAAATAGTGTATCTTTAGCTTCATCCACCAAGTCTAGGGCCAAATACTTTAAATCTTCCAAAGAGGTCGGGAATTTCTTTAGGGGCTCAATGGGCACTTCTTCGCCAGGCTTAACGCCTTTAATAAAGTTGTAAGCAACAGCAAATATTTTGCGGCCCTCGTAGAGCACGACGCGACAATTTTCCTCTGCTTGACGCGGGTAGCACAGCGATGCTACCGCGCCGGCGCCAATACCTGTGTACACAACCTTCTTGATGAAACCACCACGGGCGGCGAAGATAAAGCCCGCTAGTCCACCCATGACAATGGCCCCACTGCGATGCAACGAATTCTGAGGCTCATTCAGGTAGTCAATGGATCGCTGTGTGTGCAGCTTGGCCGTTTCCAAGTAGTCGGTGATAACACCGGCCTGATCGGCAACGACATTGTAGCCGGACTGAAGCTCCTTACGTACATAGCGCACGCCTTCCTCCACGTTATGATGAAGAGTAGAGTCCTTTACTTCCTTATGACAGGGTGCGGAACTATGGAATATTATTGTCAGTCCGATAAGATGCACAATTGTGCATACTTACGGTTTCTTCCGCAGCGAGCCGTAGATGGGCAACTCACTTGGCTTGCAGACGAGCGAATTGTCTTGCTCAGCATTTTGGGCCGGGTTCGGTTTCGAATCGCTCGTTTTTTTGACAGCGGCGGCTGCAAATGTGAATGCCATCGTCCTCGTCGCAGTGGGCAGCATTTTGTTAAGTGGCTGTGTAGTTCGAGCGTCGTTAGATGTGTACTGGCGTCTGTAATAACCGAAAGTCGATATGTCAATAAAAACCCAAAATTTTGTTAATTTTATTCCCTCTACCGATTTGTTGTTACCTTAGAGAATCATTGCGTAATGTGTCATGTAACAGCTGTTTGCCATTCACACGTCGGCCCAACACATTATTGCCACATCGTCTGTGTACGTATGTGCATATGGCGAATTTATGTGTACATGCGTGAAAATGACGTTTGGCAACGCCAAAACAAAAGTGCACACCATGGCATCAAAACTGACGCCCGTTTAACGAAACAAACTAATTTAATTTTAATCCGCCTTAAGGCCTACCGAACAACACAACATTTGCAAACACAGTGTCATAAAGTGCTAAAGAGCATCACAAAGCAAAATTTTCGCTTTTTGGACACACTTGCATTCATAATCCCACCAACACTCGTACATAAATGTTATCATTGCCGCCCTATAGTACAGTGGGGCATATACACATAATATTTTGATCTCAAGGACGAACGCCGAACAGGTAAAAAGGTCACTTGTAAACAAATTCACACAAGTAACACAAAGTATATTACAATTTCGCCAGCAGCGGACGTTAAGAGTTTGCGCCAACAAACAATTGCGTCATGATTGTCTCTAAGTTACCACAACTAAATGGTCTGCTGTGTATGTGGAAGTAGTTGGAATATAAAATCAAAAAAACCGATATCATTGCAAAATACCTAGTCATTAATTCATATGGAAAAGTCAACTATTAGGTGAGTCGAGTGGTAGCCCATTATGACAAGTAATATTATTTTAAGTTGACCACCGCAGTAGGCATGTACATACATATGTATGTATATACTAATCTGCGTATGCATGTGTGTACTATATGTACATACATAAATAAAAATGTGTATATTGTGCGGACCTCGCTTGTTGAGCGGTTTTTAACGTTCTCGTAACTATTTTCGATTGAACCGTCGAAAGCTGAGCTTTCAATTGAAATGTGTTATTTTGAGTAAAATGTCAAATGTTTTAGTTTATTTCTTAAAAGCCAAATGATTGATGACTATTTACTGTGAAATCATCATTCTTTAGCTTGTGACGTATACCAGCTCTGACCACGAAATTGCTAACGTGATTATTTTAATAAACATTAAAGCATTTGTCACAGGCATTTGCGTCTGTCAGAATTTAATTCTGACTTTCAACAGTTTTTAATTGGTAATCAATTGCATTTATCTCATTATATTGGTGCCGTATTTTAAAGCTCGAACTTTATTATTGCATAGCTCAATCTGTATTTTAGTATTTCTTTTCCATAATTTCTCTCTTATATTTCCGCAGCGATATCGATCCTTATGGCTTCAAACGCGGTGCTAATTTTGATTATGAGAATTATTCAAAATTCTTTTCCACCTATTTGAAAGTCCTTGCAGGACGAGAAACCAAATGGAAAAAATTACTGGAAAAAAAAGGAGATCTCAGTAATGTCGATAGATCTGTACTAAAGCGTTACATACGCAAAGGCGTACCACTTTCCTATCGCGCCGCAGTATGGATGGAAACGTCTGGTGCGGCGGCTCAACAAAAGAGTTCACCTGGTCTCTATACTAGTTTACTGAAAATCGAACATTTTAACAAGGAAATTAGTGATTCTATATTAATCGATCTACCTCGTACTTTTCCTGACAATATTAAGTTCGATACAAAACGGCTCAACAATGTTTTACTTGCGTATGCCCATCATAACCAGGATGTGGGATACTGTCAGGGGCTAAACTATATCGCAGGCTTGCTGCTTATTGTGACCAATGACGAGGAGAAATCTTTTTGGCTATTAAAGCATATCGTAGAGAAAATCCTTCCACAATATCACACAAAGAATATGGCCAATCTATTACGGGATTTAGCCGTGTTTAAGGAGCTAATTATTCGGCGGTATCCGGATCTTAATCGGCACGTGGAGGCTTTGGGTAAGTTTGAGAGTGACAGAATTCGTAAAACTTTACTAAATGTGCCTAATTTTTAGGACTGCCTTATCCAGTCATTGCTACCAAGTGGTTTATTTGCATTTTTGCTGAGGTACTGCCTGTAGAAACCGTTTTTCGCATATGGGATTGTGTCTTTGCTGAGGGCTATAAGGTAAGTCTTACAATAATGTTATAGGCCTTGACCTAACTCCAATTTAAATTTCCATAGATTGTTTTCCGCGCTGCTCTGGCGATGTTTGTTTCACATAAAGATGTAATACTCAGTTGCCAGGATATAGGCGCTCTGGCTCCTCTATTTCGAGATTCAATGACCCAGGATAGTATTGTGACGGATTGTCACAGCTTTATAAAAACTATGTTTGCATTGCGTTTGAAACGTAGCGAACTTGAAAACTTGCGGAAGGTGTGTAATGCGGACAATATATAAGCAACAATATCCAAATTCACAACTGAACAGCAATTGAAGAAATCAATTATTAGGAATGTAGCGTAAATTCGTCTTCAATAATACATAAATGTAACATTTTTGTATGCAAGCATGCACATTGCTTCATTCCATTGTAGATCAGAGCATGCTACATCAATGTTATAGAGAAATACCAAAGCGAAATCCATCGAAAAGTGAACTATTTTAAAGTAAATGTGTCTGAATGTATTAGTAGCTCTAGCCAAAATTAGTGTCAATATAAATGTGTGTACGTAGGCATATATACGAATATATGTAGCTATGCTTAAGACTTGTAGGGCATTAACTCGGTCATTTCTATTTTATCACAAATTATTTATTTGTATTTATTTACCACTCGGTATGTGTGTACGTAAGCAATTTAAAGACCATACACAAAACAATTGCATTCGTAAGTTGTACTTCAATTGTTATATAGTTGTCTAAGTTATTATGTAATTAAATGATTCATATGAATCATTGCCAATGCTCTATAACTAGGTATTGCGGTTTACGAAAAGTAGGGTGTTGAGCAAGACCAAACTAAGCTTCATAATTTTGTTTTATTTTGTACTGAGAAACGCTTCTTAAATACATGAATTTATTCAAAGTGTACTTTACGGTTATAATGTATGTATTTTATTTAAATATATAGGAAGACATAAATAATATAACGCTGCTCTAGTTGCGAATATTACCGCCTCACTTGGCATTTGCCTATGGCATGCCACAGTGGGCTCCACACATGGGCTCCGATGACAGAGCCAGTGAAGTGAGCAATGTGCGACGACCAGGATGCACACCCAGATTCTCCCAATTAATCCAGGAGAGACGCGCAGTTAGATCTAAAATAAAGTGTTTGCTCTTTATTCTGCTAAATTTATTCGAAACGCATTCTAAACGTACCACTCGTATTCCAAGTAGCGCGATCTGCTTTGATTTCACCCCGCAAACACTTTTCCACATAGGTCAAAGGATCGTATTCATATTCCGTTTCCAGAACCTCCCGCAATAGAGATATATAAGCAATGGCCAGACGCAAAGTGTCGATTTTACCTGCAAACAAAAAATATCGCAAAATTTGTAAACTCCCTATGGAACCAGAACAACCACGTATGTAGGAACAAATATCACTTAACAATAAAAGCCTGCCATTAAAAAGTGGTCACCGTTTATCCGTTATACTATTTGTATACATTTAAAATTGATAGGAAATATGCGAACAGTTGTGTAGCGTAAAAACTACTTTTGATTTGAAAATAAAAAGGGCATACGAACAAAAATAAGTAGTTTCTGGTAGCAGCTGGCCTAAGACTTTTTGACGGTCTATCACAACTAAAAAGGATTTACGAGTATAAAATATGTATGTTTGAGCACAGAGACCGTTTACATCAAATGCCAAAATGTAAGATAACAAAACACGGAGGGCTTATGGCTAAAGATGATCGGTTCAATGATCGGGAAATCTTAATATCTTATATCCCTATAAACAGATAGGCGGATATTGAACCCCACCTGCGTAAATGAAATAAAATAGTTTCAACGCCGTAAGATAACATAAATTGTGCACAAATAAACCATTTTATACCCTTTTCCCAAAGGGTGAAAGGTTTTGTTCTCTGCTCAATGGAGAGCAAGAAGATTTGGAATCGCTTTATTCCAGTGAAAGATCATACTAGTTTAGTATGTAACACCAATGAGTATATAAGTATGATCATGATCAGGATGACAATATGACGATATGGTCATCCCCGTCGATCTGTGCGCAAGAATTTCAGCAAGTACAAGATTTACTAATTTACCAATGTTGGTATCCAGGTTCCCATAAGCCCTAGGCAGATAATGCCCCATTAATTTAAAGAAAGCAATTTTAGGCCGAACCAATTTCCTGAACCCGTTCTATGTATATTAAGGTTTTAGACGTAGCGATTCTCTCAATGTTTACCTACCCTTTAACCGCAAGTCAAATACTGGGAAGCTACATATCCTCCAGATGCCGATTATGCCAAGCGGAGATGTATAAACTGTGGTATATTCATACCGATATTCATACCTTACAGCCCAACTTTGCTAAACTTGCAATCATTTTACATATAAAACCACCCACCGAATAAGAAATTCTTTTATAATAGAGCAATTCGTAAATCCCAACATTTTCGCGGTTTGATGTAATTGAGAAGTAGGTATATATTTATTCGCACAGAGTTCATAGCCAGAACTGTTAAAAGATTGGGGTTTCCAAAATATTTATAGAGACAGGTTCTTATAAAACTCAAATCTCGAGCGTTTTGAAGTATAAATGTAATGCAGGTCGCTAATACTTAAGAAATTCTTTAAAATAACTTTCTGCGCTAAAATGAAATTACGACATAAATTCAATACGAAATAAAAAATAAAGAAAAATAAAAAAAAAGATTTTTAAAGGTAAACAATTAGTTTAGGTGTTAAATGGTTGTTTTTAATTTTTAATCCGAATGAGAACACAAAGATCTCGAAAAGTTTCAGAGCAATAAAGTTTAAACTGTGCCGACTGTTAAGCAGTGGTATTTGTGCTATTTGCCTATGTTTGGTAGTACTCGGGAAGATCGTACAATGAACGAAGAAGTAGATGATCGTTTGACTTATAATTTGAAGTGAAATGGAATACTCACTCAGACGTTTCTCGTATGGGAAGGTAGGTACGTGGACGCGAAGCTCATCGAAGGCAGAATTTATGCTGCTGTACTATGCAATGAAAGGGTAATTGGATAAAGGGAAAGCACATTAGATGGAAGTCGCTGGCGTGTAATATGTCGAATTTCAAGGAATATTGAAGTAAGTATAGTATGAGTAAAATGGAAAAGACCATTTAGTGTACCCAGTTGGTGCGGACCTCTGGATGCGTTTCCGTTCACGCACATTGGCTTGTTGGCGCTGCATTTTATAGGTCGAAGCGCTTGGGGCATTCACCGTAGTATAGCTGGCCGCACTCAAGGTTGGGCCAGTCCCCGCACCACTGCTATTGGTGGTCGGGCTGTTGCACATCATGGGCGTGGTGCTGCTGGAATTCAGCAGCGAGCTGGTCGAGGAGTCCAGTAAGTTTTCTGCCCGAGTCGGAAAGCCAAGAAATTCGAGTTAGAAAATCGATTATCCGGAAGCAAAACTCACTCACCGCCACTGTGCTGAAGATAATGCTGCTGTATGTGTCTCAAATTATTTGAACTGAGCCGTAGACCACTGCCTCCAGCTGGAGAACCGCCACCGGTGCCGCCACTGCTTGGATGTTGGCCCGCATAAATGCAGGAGGGCAAGTCATTGATTAGGTCATCGTCGAAGTTGTGAAAGGGCATGTGACTGCGAAACAAGTGAGGGTTAAATTACAATATTTTTTGAAGGCTGTGGTTTGCCGACGGTTATAGCACAAAATGCACTTTTGAATTTCCCGGATGATAATGCACTTTTGCGTACCTTATGGGTGGCGAGGAAGATGAATCCGGCAATTGATTTCGCGACATTTTAATAAATCACTAAATTACTTCTTTTAATTTAACTGCGAATTGAGTTTCTCTGCAACAAACAAAAAGTCTCGATATACAAGTACACCTAGACCCACATAAGTTTAAATGCCTAATGAGCTCGTCTCCTGGGATTTCATTTCCTTTTATAGCAAAACTGTTCCAATTGGAAATGCGATGGCACGTGCCTTTCAACCCCTAAGAGTCCTTGCAACTACTATTCGTTCTGCCTTTGAATTTTCGGGGCGGAGCTTGCCAAGTATGTGTGTATGGTATGCCTGCAAGCAGGGTGACTTTTAGAAGTATATGTTGCAAAATATTTGTTGAGTCTGTTGATTCCATGAGGAAATCTGGAGCAGCATTGGTTTCCTAACAGGCCTGTCATTTGTATTCCAAATATTTTTATTTAATTGTTAAACATCAGACTACAGGTCAGTCATTCCACAAAAAATTAGAACAAACATCCATCAGTGAAGGCAAAGGCCTATATGTATAATAAAATCCCTCCATATATCTCCATAAAATATGACTGAAGGGCACTCAAAAATCAGCATAGCCAAAGAGATTTTTGCGCGTCTCTCTTGGTTCACCTGCATTTGACATTTTGCCAATATATTTTACACAGCAGGCGACCGCCATATTTGTTTGTCCTTCCCGGAGAAGGAACTTCTGCGGTGGGAGGCCAGACTGCTGCAGACAAGCTACTGCCTATGCGTCGGTAAACGTAACGATTTAAATAAATGCGCAAACTGTTAGTAATCTGATCTTCATATGGTGGCGACAATTTTTTTCCGATTATTTTAGCGTGGGCAATATGTTCCTAAAAACCATAAGCAATAATATGCGTCCAAAGGTTTGTTTTGCCATCTTCCCCCATATTCAATTCAAAGAATTGCTAATTGTTTACACCAGTCTGTAATTTTTGTTGCTGTCAAAAGTGTCAATCCCAAAAAATAATAAAAAAGCAGAAATGATGCTATTTCCATATGAATTTTTTGTAATTCTTCTATCTAAATCCAATAATTTTTAGTAGCCTTATCTTTATTATTATGGTACTTTACTTTACTAGTACTTTATGGTAAAAATATTCGTTTTGGTTAAAGTTTAAATATAATATAATAATTTTTAGTTGCCCTAAGAACTTATATCTGTATTATAAAGAAATTATTGTTTAAAGTTTTAATATAACACAACGTGTACAAAATACATAATAAGTATTACGTTGTTTTGGCTGTACGATAATAATGAAAAACTCTATACATACAAGTATTTCGTATGAGGAGTCCTTACCTATATACTTATCCAGTGAGAGCATACATGTCCTTATATCTGTAAAATGTTGTGGAACACATTTAATACATTGTCATAATGTCATAATAAATATCCATTGAACCAGAAATTGTAAACGAAATAAATTGCAATTTTTTTTGTATTTTTCAACCTAACTAAAAAGGAAGTCAGTGGTTCGGCATTTATCATAATTTGAAGGCCAAAATAAATTGCTCATAATAAAGAATATAAATGTAGGCAATGTCTTTCATATGGATGCTTGATACAGCTTCGGTTTTTATTTCCTATAAATAAACAAAAGCGATCTATTTCTTTTCTATATATAGTATAAGAAATATTAGATCTTAACGACAAGATGTTGCTTAGTTCTATTAAAATACTTAATTCATTGATTCAATTAGCGCACCCGGTTTCTTGTGATTGGTGAGTAATTTGTGGGCGATAACTAATTAGACACAGCTGCGGTGGAACTATCACCAAAGAACAAAATATAACAGATATAGATCGAAAAATGTGCTAGCTTTCCAAATATAAGCTAACAAGATACAATAATTTTTTTAAAATAATTTCGAGACTACAAGTAGTTTTAAATAGGATGTCATCGGCTGAAATCTCTGCTCATCCTCTTCCTTTTAAAACCAAATTTAATTCAAGAAATGCACATGAAAAGTCGCCATTAATAGGGTCCACCTATTAATTATGCTGCAACCACTCCCCCAAAAAACGAATATAAAAATATTTTACAATTTAATTTAATATTGTTATTAACTTATGCAAATTAAAACAAGTAGAGAAGCTAAAGTCGAGTATCTCGACTTTGAAATACTCTGTACTTATGTATGGCTGTATGTGCACTATAATTATAGAAATTAAAGTAATTAAGAAAATTGGCAAAAATTAACGATTAAATTTAAAATTAATTTAAAAAAAAATATTTTAGATCTATTATACCTCCTTGGAGGCCGTCAGCCAATGGGTATCACAAGGGGATCACGTGTAACCACCATGCCAGGTTGTACGCGCCGTAATTGTGATACACCATGGGAAGTGCGACCATACTCTCCTCGCGAGGGCGGCTGGAAGCAGGCCCTTGGCACGGTCATGTCTCTGCCTTGTGGTGCTGACTAATGGTGGTTGGGCGAGAGCTGAAAACTCTATAAAATTTTCCCAGATCCAAAGCGGAACAGCTTAGGCCGATGGATGCGTGGCTGAGGGGGTGCTCAGTCTCTACTATGCGAACTCTGGATACCTGCCGACCTCCAGTTTAAATCAGGCTTCCCGTGGTACTCGGGCTATGCCACGGGTGACCCAACCCTTCCCGACTACTCGTGGGACCAATATGAAACCAAGCATTAAAAAACAAAACAAATTAACAAAACAAAACAATGAGACCGGAACTCGCCATAAGCCGGACGGGACCTCAAATCCCTCTAACCAGATGGTCATAGATTTGACTGTCGCCAGGATGGGAACTCCTAGCAGCTCCCATCCCATTGCTGCCAGTGCAGGTGGAGACAATCCGACAAGCCAATCGGTTGTCTCAGAATCTGGGGAGCATCAGACCCCCTCCACTTCGAAGGCGAAGCAGCTAAGCCAAGCTGCCAAGCCAGCAGTAGAATTGGAGGAGGCTGGTAACTCTGCAGAGCCAGAAACTTCGGCAATGCTACCACCTAAAACAAAAACGTCGTTTCAAGACAAGAGACGCGCAGCAGTCATTCTGCGAAAAAACCACTCCGCCCCCGAGATGTCACCAGACGGTCAAAGGATGGTGGAATGGGCGAAGAAAATCTTACCGGATTTCAAGCCAGCTCCGGTAAGAAGAAACAAAAATGCCCCGAAAAGGCAGAGGTCGGCAGAAGATACGCCGCCACAACCAGCGAAAAGAACACGACCTCCGCAGCCTCTGCATCGAACCTTCGCAGAAGTGGCGAAGGATAAGATCCTCATTGGTGTCCTTGACAAGGGCAGCAAAGATGGTCTTATCCCGAGACACCGATGGGCAAGAGTCGAAAACGAGCTGCAAGGTCGGTTTCTGACGGACCTGGCAACGAGTGGAGGACCACCACCTATATGCGACGATGCAGGATGGCATCAAGGCAGGGTCAAGGCCATCGCTTGTCATGACAAGCGGTCAGCCGAGGCCTACAAGAAATCCATTGCAGCACTCGGAGAAGTGTATCCAGGTGCAAAATTGGTTGCGGTGGACTGGTGCGACATACCCAGCAGACCACGTGCCAGGGTCAGGGTATCGGCGAAACCAGAAAAGCCAGAAGAGATCCTGAAGGTGTTTCAGATCTGCAACCCGAGCATGACAAGGGGACGACTGGAGCGTGGTCAAGGTAGAGGAGGCGGAAGGGACCACGCGCCAGATCGTACTCGTTATAAACGAGCTGGCAAGATGTGGAAATCTGGCCAGGTATGGCTACAAATCGGTAGCCATACGTGTCTACCGAGGTGACACAGCGAGTAGTAAGCCCACCACACAAAACGCGGAACCAGCAGACGCAGAACCGGTCGTTCCAGGCAGTCCTGAAACAGAGGTCGCGTCGGATGATGAGGATATCCTTGAAGGATATTCCTCCGAAACCTCCGAACTGGCGAAAGGGTTCGCGACTTTAGGCCACGAGGATGAGGACCTAGACGACGACGAGGCCGATAGGACAGTGGTGGAGATGGAGGTAGATGCCCTTGAGGTTTCTACAGATTAACCTCCACCACTGCAAAACAGCAACAGCTGCCCTAATACATCGTCTGAGCAAAGACGACATCGACGTAGTCCTCATTCAGGAACCTTGGGTCTGTAGGGACAAGGTTTCTGGACTGGGGACGAAGGAGTATAAGCTGATCACAGCGAAGAGCTCAGGCAAGACCAGAACCTGCATTTTAATCAAGAAAAACATAAACATTTTTCTGCTATCTAATTTCAGTAATGAAGATAACACAGCTGCATGCATAGAGGCTAAGCCAAAGCCTCTAAGAATATGCTCAGCCTATATGGCTTACGAGGAAGCTAACCCTCCACCTCTGTTGACAAGACAGATAATAGAGGACAGCAGGCAGAACAACATTGATCTGCTCATAGGACGCGATGCCAACGCTCATCACGCTCAGTGGGGTAGCACTGATACCAATCCATCCTGTCTACTAACATACTTTTAAGTAATGCTGGATCAGATCCAACTTTCGTGGTAAGGAACCGTAGCCAGGTTCTTGACCTCACTTTGGCGTCAGGCGCACTTTACAATCGTATCTCCAAATGGAGAGTCCTATTAGAACACTCCTTCTCAGATCACAGATACATCCAATTCGAAGTATCTCTAAAGAATGAAAGACCAATCGCGATTAGAAATCCTAGACGCACAAATTGGTCTTTGTACTCTAATCACCTAAGTAACATACTTCCAAACTACCCTCCCGAGGGCCCAGACACAGTCGAATTCACCTCGACGCTAATAAAACAATTCACCACAGCGTGCAACACCGCGCTGCAGAAATCATGCCCCACTGGGAAACCAAGAGGCAAACTCAAGCCTCCCTGGTGGACTCCAAGAAAAAAGGCTAGGAAACTCTTCAATGCAGCCAGATCCCAAGGGGGAGACCAACACTGGTATGCATACAAACAAAGCCTGTCAGAGTACAAGAAAATACTCAGACAGGCCAAACGATCTTCATGGCAGAACTTCTGCTCAGATATTGAGAACACCTCCGATGCCGCAAGGTTAAGGAAGGTCCTCTCTAAAACTCCCTCAACGCTAGGGTACCTTCAGAAGCCAGACAAGACTTGGACGA